GTTTTACGCTGAGGGTGGTGAAGCACTGGCCCAGGTTGCCCAGAGAGGTGGTGGATGCCCCATCCCTGGAAACATTCCAGGTCCGGCTGCCCGGGGAGAGCTGCGATCCCCCTTCCCCGAGCATCGCCGCCCAGCACCGCCGCTGCCACCCCTGCCCGCTCCCACGGACGCGGGCTGCGGAGGTGAGGGGGGTCCCGCTGACTCGGGAACAGGAGGGCACAAATTAGCCGACGGCAGCTAATTCAGTGCATTTGTTTCACAGCGCCTGGGGCTACGTGAGGCTCCCCAGGCTCCTTCAAAGGACGCTGTCTCCTGGGCTGACCTCCCGATCCTTGTTTGCTTGAAAAATTTATATTGCTCTCGCTGCAATTCTCTACTTTATTCCTTCCCTTTGCTCTGCCTCTTGTCTTTGTCAGGGCACAGTATTTTATATCTCACATTTATACTGCTACTCCTAACTCCTCTTTCTTTCTACTGAATCATCAACATGGCTTTATTTTTACCTATTTTTTATTCCTATGCTGCAGGACCCCATCATAACCCATCTATCAGGCCAGCTGCAAGCACGTCTTTATTTTCTCTTCCCACAGCCCTTCACTTCACTGCTTTGGATAAAATAACACATTTTCTGGACCTTTTCTAGCCCTGGCCATTCGAGGGCCCTGCAGCTGCCGACGATGATCAGCGCCTGCCGCTGCCTCGTGCCAGGTCAAAACTGGCACCAGCCCTTGTCACAGCCCTTGTCACAGCCTGGCACGCCGAGCGTGAGGGTCTGCCTGGTGTGTAGGGGGCAGAGGCTGGCTGCAGCCCTCAGCAGCAAGAAATGCAAAAAAACCTGGTACTCCCATCTCGGACCGGTCCTTCTGAGATCCTCCCTGGCATCTTCCTCCTCCTCTGCTTCAAGACACCATCTTCCCAGGTCCCGGCCAGCGGGCCCCCCTCCTCCTCCTCCTTCCCCATCTCCGTAAAACAACGCAGCAGCTCCAACGCTTACAGGGATGATCCTCAGATCCCTCACGGGACATTTCTCATCCCATGCTTTCTGGATTTGGGTGCACAAAAAATACAAGGCCCCTACACAGCCGTCAAAAGAAAAATATTATGAACCTCTCTCAGCTAGGACCTTGCTGCTTTCTGGGGAGACAGAGCCCTCCAAAGGGATTTAGGCCCCCCCCAGCTCCGGGGGTGACCCTGGTGAGATGTCCCACCTCTCCTGCGGCACCAGAATTGGGCAGGAGGTGTGACGGGAGGGGTGGACTCAGCACCAC